AGAGAAGAGAAGAGAAGAGAAGAGAAGAGAAGAGAAGAGAAGAGAAGAGAAGAGAAGAGAAGAGAAGAGAAGAGAAGAGAAGAGAAGAGAAGAGAAGAGAAGAGAAGAGAGAGAAGAGAAGAGAAGAGAAGAGAAGAGAAGAGAAGAGAAGAGAAGAGAAGAGACCAACAGGGAGGAGGGCAGAGTGAGGGACAGGAACTTGTAGCTCTGAGCTTGATGCTGGGGAAAATATGCCAGGACATGCAGAAACAAGGACTCCAGGAGGCGGAGGGGAGGTTGGATATCTTTGGCTGGAATGACACAGGTGGAAGAGGGAGCTGAGCTGAGGGGGGCAGGAGGAGCCACAGACGCGGCCCAGCATCTCCTGGGGCCAGTCCAGCCCTGCCCTACCTTGGTGGGCTGGAGGTGCTCCAGGATGTTCTCTCGGAGGGTGGCCACGGCCCTGTTGGCGTTTCGCTCCTGCTTGTACATCTGTGTGGTGGGGGGGATGGAGGGGGCCGCGGCCGAGCTCAGGTACGTCCCGTTGCCAAAGGCCTGGATGGCGTTTTCTTGGGAAAGAGGCGGAGAAAAGGCTCCTCAGGGCAAGGTAAAACATCCCCGCACCACCCAAACGCACCTCCGAGGGGCTTCCCAGCTGCTCTGCTGGCAACTAGGGAGCTGGGCACCCCCAGACTCCCGAGGATCAGGGCATCTCCGTGCCCCCATTCCAAAGGAGGCCCCTCGGGGTGCGGGGATGATGTGGGTACTCACGGAGACAGACGTTGTTGGTGAAGAGGCGCAGGAAGGTCTCACACTCTTCCTGCCGGTTCCCGCTGGCGTTGCAGGTGCACCAGGGAGCGATGCTGGACGTGGAGTTGTCGATGTAGTTGGGGGTGATGGGGCTGCCTGAGGGGGGAAAGGGGTCAGTGAGATCCCCCCCAAGTTGCTCTCTTGGGTTGCTCCGCTCTCAGCCTCGGCCAAATCCCTCTGGGATGGCAGCACAACTCTCCCAGTGCTGCTGTCATGGCTCTGGTTTGCTTCCAGGGAGGAGAATCACAACCTTTATGGTCACCCCACCACCACCAAAGCGTTCAATCAATTGAAAAGTGCTCTCAGTCCAAGGAATGGGCATTTTCTGGGAATTTAGGTTCACTAAAGCTCATCTTGTTCCACCCCCCTGCCCTGGGCAGGGACACCTTCCACTAGCCCAGGTTGCTCTAGCCTGGCCTTGGACACTTCCAGGGATCCAGGGGCAGCCTCAGCTTCTCTGACCAACCTGGAACAGGGTCTCCACACCCTCCCAGCCAGGAATTCCTTCCCAATATCCCATCTAACCCTGCCCTCTGGCACTGGGAAGCCATTCCCTGTGTCCTGTCCCTTCATCCCTTGTCCCCAGTCCCTCTCCAGCTCTCCTGGAGCCCCTTTAGGCACCAGAAGGTACTGGAAGGTCTCTCCAGAGCCTTCTCCAGGCTGAACACTCACAAACTTTCAGGCGAGGCCGCCCCAGGGTGGAGCAGAGCGGGACAATCCCCTCCCTCGCCCGGCTGGCAACGCTTTCCCTGACGCTTGATCCCTCACTCTCCTCTCCCTCCTGCCTCTTTTTTATTCCTTTCTCTCTCTCTGCACCTCACATTTTACTTTAATAATTAAACCAAACCAGATCTGACCCCCCCATACCTATGATGCCAGTGTAGGCCAGCAGACAGGCAGCATAGCTCTCCCTCCGGCACCCGCTGGCAGCCTGGAGGGAGGGCTGGCAGTTGAACTGGAACTCTGCATAGCGGGACCTAGGGGAATCACAGCACAAAAAACAGGACAGATTAGCACAGATTTTTTGCTGGGAAAAAAAAAAAGATACAGCAGCCCACTGGTGGTGTTTGTAAAATCCTTCAGTGCTGCAGGTGTTGCTAAACTGGTTCTAACCGATATAATTTTACATTCGCCCGCCCCAACCAACCCAGGAGTAGTTTTTGAGCAGGTTCTGCAGCTCATGTTTTATCAGGATTCCTCTGGAGCTACGAGAGAGGTGCAGTCTTGGGAGAAATGGTTGTTGTCTGCTGTGTGAGGCTGGTTTTTGAGGGAAGAGCTCTTGCCGGCAGGGAGGGAATTCAAATTCATTCTGTGTTTGTCATTTTTAGCTTTGCCTAAAGAGCCCCAACCCTCCTTTTTATGCTGATTTGTTGGAACAGGGAATCACCCCTGTCCATTTTCTCTCTCTTTGAAGACTCTAAACGTAGCTGAGGTCACCTCAGACCAAGAGGAATGTCCAAAGGCTCAGGTATGGAATGTTCTACCCATCACCAGGGTTGCTGTCCCATCCTCTGCTGCAGGAACCCATTCCCAGGAGAAGGTTGGACTCTCTGGAGCCTGTGGAGAAGGTAAACCCTGCTGCCAATCAGTCATTTGCCACCTAATTCTTTAGAGATGGGGCAGTTTTTGGCACATGGTGGTGTTTGGACACTGTAGGATCTCTGAGACATCCACATGGGGCTTTCAGGTAGGACCTGGTGGAGATCCAGATCCATCTGAACAGGCCTCCCATGGCCAGGTAGGAAGGGACCTCAAACACTGCTGACACCTGAAGGTAGAGCCCTTTTGGTGACAACCTGCAGTGTCTGAACTGTGAACCGACCTCAAAATGTTTGCTCTGCCTGGGAAACCTCAGAAAGACTGAGCATGTTGCTCCTCCCAGACACCCTCTCTCTTCCAGATGTTTTCTTGGTGTTCCTGGTCAGGGTCAGAATTCCAACTTGCACTTTCCTGCCCACTTCTCCTCCCCAGCCTTCTCCTTTTTTTTTCCTTTCCTCTTCTTTGTTCCCATATTTGCCCCACACCAACCCCTTTTCCCCTGTGGCACCAGGAAAACTCTTCCTGCCCAAAACGTGCCGCTTTTAGAGGAGGGAGATGCTGCTGGCAGATTTTATATAATTCGATATAATCCGTGTCAGCAGAACCCACCCCTCCAGGCTGGGAAATCCAGCTGGGAAGGAGCTGCAGAAGGAGGACTTGCAGGGCAGGCAAATGGAGTATTTTACTCCATTTCTTTATGATTTATTCCTCCTGGTTTCTGCACTGCTGGCTCTGACCAGGTCACACATCAACCCCTTGCTCCTGTTGTGCCTCTAGAGGATATTTTACATTATACATTCAAAGGCCAAGGAAGCAGATAATGAACAGCTGTGCTGGGGCAGGAAATGGTTTCCAGCCTCCTGGGGGGCAACACTCTCCCCTTTGAACCTCTTCCTCCCCGCTGGGCCCTCTTGTCTTGTTAGAGAGAGGGCAGGACCACTTCAGATTCCAGGATCAATCTTCCATTTCAGGTTCCCTGGGTACCAGGGGACACCTGAGCCAGGGTTGGGGTGGCTCAAAGTTTTTTCATCATTCTTTATTGTCCTTCATCCACGTTTCTGGGGTGCACAGGGATATTTGTCCCAGTCCATCCTTCCAAGAGGATGTTTCTGCTCTCACCTCCCTTTTGTGAAAATACAGAATGAGTTAATTGTAATTTAAATGTGCTGGTGGGCAACGGCTGCTGGCATTTCAGCTCAGGAAGTCCCAAACCTCTCAATAATTAGAGTCTGGGATAATGCTGAAGGTGTTGTCCTACACTTGTTCTAGTGTTTTCCTTCTCCAGGTGTCTGCTTGGGGCTCCAGCTGCACCCAGGGCACTGGGCTGGGACCACCACAGTCAGTGCTTTTGTGGTCTCACATCTCCCACGGACAGATGGGCTGTGTGTGGATTGGCCTTCTGGAATATCAAGGACTTTTTGGAGAAATACAGGGGTGAAAATAGTACAGAAGAAGGAAAAAGGCTGTGAGTGAGCACACGGGACGGGTCTGTGGGGTTGGATGGGAGCAGAGCAGCAAACCACACTGGCCACAGGCTGAGGGGTGGATCTGGAGTGACACTGAGACCCTGAGACTCCTGTTGCAACCACCAGTGCTTAGAATTATGGAATGGTTTGGGTTAGGAAGGACCTTAAAGATCATCTTGTCCCATCCCCCTGCCATGGGCAGGGACACCTTCCACCGGCCCAGGTTGCTCCAAGCCCTGTCCAACCTGGCCTTGGACACTTCCAGGGATCCAGGAGCAGCCACAGCTTCTCTAGGCAACCTGTGCCAGGGCCTCCCTATCCTCACAGGAAATATTTTCTTCCTAACATCCAATCAAAATCTACCCTCCTTCAATATAAAGCCATTCCCCCTTGTCCTGTCCCTCCATGTGGGATGCTGTGGACTAGGGGAGATGGACAGTGAGGAGATGGATCAGTGAGAGTGGCTGCAAACACCCCACCCTACATCCCTGTGTGGCTCACACCTTCCTGAAGAAACTCCTTGCACAGGATAAGGGGTCTAAGATGCCAGGATTGGTGCAGACCATCCACGGATCAGGAGACCCAGCTTTGCCACTGAGACCCAGAGCGGGTCTATCTTTGGGACCAAAGCCAAAAAAACATAGAAAAAGTCTAAAAAACTCCAGCATAAACATCTCAAATCATCTTCTGTCTGTTAAAACCTTGTGTATGGGGAAAGGATGTGGGAAGGAGCCACCAGGGCCAATGAACTGTCAGTGGGATGTGGTGGGAGATCCAGCTTTGCCACTGAGACCCAGAGTGGGTCTTTCTTTAGGACCAAAGCCGAAAAAAACATAGAAAAGGTCTAAAAAGCTCCAGCATGAACATCTCAAATCTTCTGTCTGTTAACACCTTGTGTATGGGGAAAGGATGTGGGAAGGAGCCACTGGAGAAACAGCCTGTCAGTGGGATGTGGTGGAAGACCCAGCTTTGCCACTGAGACCCAGAGGGGGTCTTTTTTTAGGACCAAAGCCAAAAAAACCATAGAAAAGGTCTAAAAAGCTCCAGCATGAACAACTCCAATATTCTTCTGTTTGTGTAAGATACAAGAATATGGATCATGGGAAGGGGTCACCAGGACAATGAACTGTCAGTGGGATGTGGTGGGAGACCTAACTTTGTCACCAAGACCCAGAACAGGTCTTTCTTTAGGACCAAAGCCAAAAAAACACAGAAAAGGTCTAAAAAGCTCCAACCTGAACATCTCAAATCATCCTCTGTCTGTGTCACACACCTTGTGTACGTGTCCTTGTATCACACACCTTGCGTACGTGTCCTTATAATCCCACACCTTGTGATACAAGGATGTGGATCATGGGAAGGAGCCACTGAGGCAACGACCAGTCAGTGGGACGAGGTGGGATGGGGGACCCTTCAGGTGAGTGCACTGGAGCTGTCACCAGGGGACGAACCCTCGGGACACCTCTCCGCGTGCACGGGCGTTACCTGCAGACGTAGTTTTCCCGGCAGGAATCCAGCGGCGCCAGGCAGTTGGGCTTGTCCTTGGCCTCGTAGGAGCAGGCGGGGACGATGGTCTGGCGGCGGCGCTCGGCGCAGGCCGTGTCGTCGCAGGGGCAGAAGAGCAGCTCGTGGGTGTACTCGGGGGGCACGCGGTCGAAGAAGCGGCGCAGGGCCTTGTGGCACTTGGAGCGGTTGCAGGAGTCGGCGCGGGCCAGGCGCCGGATGCACAGGGACACGTACTCCGTGCGCAGCCGCTGGCACAGCTCGTCCACGTTGCAGGCCTTGGCCGCGTCCAGGCACCGGTTCACCTGCGTCACCTCGTTCTCCGACCCTGCGGGACAGGGCACAGGGGGTGGTTGGCACTGAGATCCACCCCCAGCGGCACCACCCCTGTATATTTTATGTATTTTATATATTTTATATATTTTATATATTTTATATATTTTATATATTCTATATATTATATAGAATATATTTTACACCTTATATATATTATATATATTCTATATTTTATATATATAATATTTATATATTATACATATTATATATTTCTTTTATATATATTATGTTATATATTATATATTATATATTATATTATATATTTTAAGTATTTTAGATATTATATATTATATATATTATACATTATATTATAAATATTATATATTATATATATTATACATTATATTATATATATTATATATAACATATTATATATATTATATATTGTACATTATATTATATATTATGTATATTATAAATATTTTATATATTATACATTATATATTATACATTATATTTTATATTATAATTATTATATATATTATATATTATATATTATAAATATTATTTATATATATAGTATGATTATTATAGATATTACAAATGCTACAGATATTATAGATACTATAGATATTCTAGAGACTATAGATATTATGGATATTACAAATATTATAGATTATATATATTATATCTATAATATATTATAGATATTATATAATAGATATTATATACATTATATATACTTTATATATTATTAATGTTATATATATAACATATAGTACATATACCATACATACTATATATAAAATATATATAGCATATATGATATATCATATGTGATATATATTATACATACTATATATAATAGATATTATATACTATATTATTTTAATATATTATATAGCTGATAATATTAATAAAATATATTAATCACTATGTGACTAGTATGGTAATTAATATAATTAATACAATTAGTATTTTAGTATATTATATTAATGGCATATTATAAATATTGTATATTATAATTATATACTCATGGCTAGGCACAAATTATATACTATATGCTATAATAATGTATTATTATATATTAGAATTAATTATAAGATGTCACATATTAATTATAATATATAATATACTAGTTATATTGTATTAAATATTAATATATGCTATTTATATTGTATTAAATATTATCATAACATATAGATATTATAATAACATATGATAACTATTAATTATATTCTCATATTATATTATTTATTATTAATTAATTAATTATTGTTATTATACTAGTAATATATTAATATATTCATGTATTATATGTGTTTAATAGATTATATAGTCTATATAGTTTATATGCTATATATTGTATATTATATATTAATACTATATATTATATATATTTAATATATTGTATATTATATATAAAATATGTAGTATTTATCATTTATATACTATATATTATATAATGTACATTATATATATATTTTATATATTATGTATAGTTTATACATTTTAAATATTATATATATTTTATATATTTTAAATATATATAATATATCATTCATATACTATATATTATACAGTTTACCAGTCCCTTTCTGCTGGTTTTCTAAAATGTTCAACAGGCAGGAATTTTAATGAGTTCAAGGGTTTCTCTGTCTGTGAACTGGACCGAGAAAAGGGCCACAACACCTGATACAACCAATCAAAGCTTCTCCGAAGCCTTGAAAGCGTTCCAGGTAATGCCATAACATCCCAAAGGAGATGAGGGAGAGGAGGGGAAGATGAAGAGATTGGTCTTTTTGAGACCTCCAACTGAAATTCGGGAGGCGTGAGGAGGGCAGTACTGAGGGAGGTTGTGACAGTCTCAGGTAATTGGTAATTAGGCAACGAAATAAAAGCAAGAGACTTTGTTGGCTCGGGCGCACTTTGGAAACTATTCCTGCATAAAGAGAGCGGTTTTTGCTTTTTAATACTCAAAAAGAGTCTCAGAGGGTGATTTTTCTGCATCAGCCACCTTGGTGGGACCACAACCCCCCCTCCAAGAAAACAGTGTCCAGGTGAAGCCCACATTTGTTTGCCGTGTCCTGGCAGCCCCAGATCCACTTCCCACACTCATTTTTTTCCCGAGAGGTGCCACAGCCACCCACCAAACCTCTCCCCCCCAGGGCTCGCTCCCCTACTCTCCTGTATTTAATAAAATGAAGCTTTGCTCTTCCCTGGGCATCTCGTAACACTTTTCCAATGTGAACTGGAACTTGACGCCTGGGAAAACAGGAGCCATCAGGAATTGCATCTGCTTACAGCCACTACTGGATCTACCATTGGGATCTCTAGTAAAAGACCCTTTTTTTCCCTCAAGTTGCTCAATATGAAGCACTGAGTCAGTGGCAAAGTTGAGGCTGCTGATCCATGGATGGTCTGCACTAATCCTGGCACCTCAGGCTCTCTATCCTGTGCAATGAGTTTCTTCTGGAAAGAAGAAGACCTGGAGGGTCCCATCAGGCTTTGGTCCATCCCAGGACCTTCCCAGCTAAGCAAGAGCTGCTTGGGTCTCAAAGTGCCACAGCAGATCTCTCACTTCCCCCATCCAGACCAGTCCTGACCAGTAAATCCTTGTCCTAGGAAGTAACAGTGCCTTCACAGGATGGGATCATCCCACTTGGAGTCCCCGGGACCTGATGATGGGTCTGTCCTCAGAGCCTTCCCTGCCTTCAGCAAAATCATTCTGCATTTCCACCCCCTTAAAGAAGACGAGAAAGGATGTCCCAGTCTGGGTGGGAGAGCGGGGAGGTGCTGTGGGGACACAGGGGTAGTGGAGGAAAACGTGGGGTGTGGGTAACAATCAGGAAAATAAAGCAGGATTTGTGGTGATGAATGCAAAACAAACAGTAGGAAAACAGGGATCTCATGAGTTTATATAAGGCCAACAGCCTCCTCTGCAAATGTGGGGAGTAAGTAAGAGGGAAAGGTCTTCCAGGTGCCTCTGGATCCCTGGAAGTGTCCAGGACCATTGGAGTTTGGAGCAACCTGGGCTAGTGGAAGATGTCCCTGCCCATGGCAGGGGGTGGAACAAGATGAGCTTTAAGGTCCCTTCCAACCCAATCCGTTCTGGGATTCTGCGAAAGGTGTTTTTTGTAGCACTGGTTGTAGGGTCCTTAGAGATGGATGGGGTGTGTTTTATAGAGGGGGAAACGCTCCAGAGTCATGGCAGGAGTGGGTTGGGATATCAGGCTCCATTTGCTCACACGGGTAAGAGAAGAAGCCTCCAAGCATGAGAGAGAAAATGAAGTTAAAGCTGATTTTCACCTCTCTGCATTAAGCCCATGTCCTGCAGCACACCAGGACTTTCTCCCCAGCACAGAAGGATTTTTTTCCCTTAAGAAAAATCCCCAGAATGATAAATTCCCAGCGCAGAGTCAAACCCTATCTTTGGCCAGCCACTGCTGAAACATTGACAGTCTCCCTGAGCACTTCAGAGCTGTCTGCTCTCCTTTATTTCCCTGGCATTATCAGATGCTCCTTCTCCCAGAATTTATTTTTCCCTTCCTGTTGTCCCTGCTGCTTACAGTGAGCTGGAAGTCAAATTCCAAGTTTTTCAGGGCGAAAATTCTGCTTGGTGCGTTCCCACTGCCAAATACTTCCCTTTCAAAATGCCCAGAGAGAGGAATATTGTCAAGAGCATCAGTTTATGCTGGGGAGCTGCCAGCCAACGTGGAGGGAACAGTTCCTTGGAAGGGTTTCATCATCCATTCAGTTCATAAATCACAGGGAACATGCTGGATTTTCTCCTCTTCCCACACAACACCAGAGATTGTGCTTTTTAAATCACTGCTACAATTAAGAGTGGAGGGATGTGGCTCCATTTGTACAGTTTTAAGAGTGACCATATATTGTTGGGTGAAATTTGGTTTAAAATACCTGTTGCTCTTGCTTGGCAAACGGTCATGGGGGTGTCTTTTGTTTCCACAAGTTCTTGGGAATTCTGGGTTTTTTTGGTAGATTTGAAAGAGGATCCTTTGGCAATGCTGATGGTATGACCCTGGACACTGGACAGGCGCAGGGTGGCAGGTCGTGATTCAAGTTATGGAAGATTTTGATTGGTATAAATAGGGAAAAACAGGTTTAAGCAAGAAAATTCATGTCCCTAAGTGGATGCTGAGTCCTCTGATGAATCCTTGCTGCTCTGGGCCCATTTGCTTTGCTGCCCAAACGATTTCAGCCTGCCTTAAAAATGTGCTAACCGTGCAGAAAAATCCCCATGCCTGGATTTCCCCATGCTCCGAAGCCCTGGAGGACTCTTAGAAAAAGGTGGAAAACTCCATTAGAAAGGCCATGACCCAGCAAACAGCTTTGGCCACGCTCCGGTGTCCACGCTCCCATCTGTCAAGTGGAGTCAATAAGAAGAGCGAGGCCAAGGGAGCACCTCCCATCCCTCTCTGGTTTGATTGTCCGGGGCTGATGGGTTAATTTGCTCCTGGACAATTTTCCTGGCCGTGGCAGGGACTGAGGGCATCCATCAGCCTCAGGTACCTGCTGCTCCTCCTCGCTTGGGTGCCCTCCAGCCGTGCTGCCACCCCAGAGCCGGGGGCACGGCGGGGAAAAGATGAGACGGGACAGATGTTTTGGCACATCTGCCAGAGCACATTACCTGCTCCCAGACAGGGAGCTTTATAACCCAAATCACTGTTGGTAAAGCTCCCCCACGGCTGGTGCAGGAGCTGGTTGGTGATGGATGGGTTGTTGGCCGACCTTTTAACTGCTGAGCCCTGTTTGTGCCCTCCAGGGGTTAAAAGGTGTCAGGCAGCTCTGTTTAAGTTGTTAAGGGGATTAACGTGATGCAGAGCAGAACAGGGGGCTGAGGTTGCCCTCAGGGGATGGGGTTAAAAGCTGTGTCTGGGATCAACCCATAGGGTGGGTTTTTGACCTTTTTTCCCTGCAGAGTTCGACCCTGTGACTGATGTGGAAGCACCTTTGAAACCCAAGCAGCTCCTGTTTGCTGAGGTGTCTGCAGGGCACAGATCATCCACCTGCTGTGGAGAATGAGCCCACTGGAAGAGGTCTTCCCACCACACCCCTCAGTCCCAGCCCTTTTTTTTCATGCCCACACTGTAATAGACACAAAAAAAGCCAAAGGATGAAACCACAAGTGGTTCTTCCCAGCACACGTAAAGTTTAGCACAGGAATCACAGGCAACTCCTTGGAAAAGCAACTGCTGGCCCTGAACCAGGCAATGCTCACAAAGGATTTCCCTGCCTGTAGCTCTTCCACAGCCAGTCCCCCCCCAGTTTGAACCAGTAAGAGCAGCTCCCCTCCCACCTACCTGCAGTGATGGAGGCCAGGCGGACGTAATCGAAGCCCCTGCTGAGCGGCTCGTAGGGGGAACTCTCCAGGACATTCATTCCTGGGGGGACAGGAGAAGCCGGTGAGAAGGCAGCTGAGGCTCCTGAGGGATGGCTGAGGTGCACAATCCTCAGTGCAGGATTGTTTGGTGGCTCCAAGGGCCATAAATAAACCCCCAGAGTCGCAGGGACTGCTGTGTGGCCACATCCTTGGAGAAGGAAATGGGATTGGACTGGCTTTTAAAAATACATCTCAGCTTTGGAATGGGGCAGGGAACTGTTGAGTTGTAATCCTCTGTAGCTCAAGCCACTCTCCAGGGAGTGTCACTGAGGGCACCAGGCTGTGGGCAGGTTTCAAACCACCAGCTCCCTCCACACATGGAGTTTCCATCACCGTTCTTGCTCTTTCCTCTGTGTCCCTCCCTGGGATTTAGTCCTCACCTCTTTCTAGGACACGGCCAGGGCTGTGTGTGTGTGTGACAACACACCCCATATTTATTACCACCTCCCCCTTTCTTCTTGCCATTATTGCTTGGCACAGAGCTAATGAGCCATAGCTCCCGCAGGAGCTTCCTCTCCTCATTTTTGAGTCTCTGGGAAGCTGATTTTATTCACGACGGTCTGTACTGCCCCGTCATCCTGATGGATCCCACGGAATATTACTGAAGCAAACAGCTCAGCATCAATTCCTTGCTTTATTAGACATTTAGATGGATGTGGAACAGCAGCTGGGATAAAAGGACTATCAAACCTCACGCTCCGGGCATATGCTGATCTCCAGGAAGAAATGGCTCCCAGGATACACGAGGCCCTGGAATTACCACAGGTGCATTACAAGGCAGCTTTACACCTTCATTGAAATATCCTGCATCGTTACCCACTGGAGAGGGGCCCATTTGTGCGTCTCAGAGTAGCAGTTTTATGTCCTGATGACGAAGCACCTTTATCAGAGGATTGTTATCGAGTTGTCATCGTGTTATTGTGTCTCTAAATGGGAAGGTGGCCCTGAGTAAACAGCGTGCTTTGCAAATTCCCTGAGCACACACTTCCACTATTGTTTTTACAAGAGGGCTTCTAAGAAGCTTTTTGCAGCCTCCTGGGTGCGTGTGAGTGAGAGACAAAGCTCTGTGTGGGTTCCTTTCTCAGTCAATTAAACGCGTGAGGACTCCGGGGCTGTTATGAAATGTATCACCCCGGGGAAATTAAGGCAAGGAAACCACAGGTTTGGGGGGTGAATCTGCACTGCAAGTGACCTCAGTCATGGAAAAAATGCAGCAGAGAAGGGGGGCAGAGTCTTGCCAGCCTCCTAAAACAGCCCTCTTACAGTCATCCCAAAGGTGGAAGTCCCAGGTCGCTGGGCGGGAAGTTCATCCAGCCCATCCAACTTCTATTCTGCACCTGGAGACCCACTCCTGACCTCTACCAGCCTCTCCCTCCTCTTCCTTCTAGTGCAAGGTGTCCCTGGCCATGTCAGGGGGTTGGAATGATATGATCTTTAAGGTCCCTTCCAACCTAAATCACTCCACATCCCAAAGCTGGAAATTCTCCTGACCCCCCTGTCCTATGGAGCCATGTCACAGATGACCTGTGGCCAAAGTTTTAGCCATGAAGGTCAGCAGGGAAGGAGTTGTGACACAGCCTTTTGAGATGAATGTCCTTGGATTGCCACCTCTTCCCCAGGCTTCACTTCAATGGAAATTAATTTATCTGGCATTTTTACGGGAAAAATTGGATTCTGGAGGGTGCTGAGGCCTCTGATTTCCCCAGTCAGTTCATACCACCATGCTCTGCACCCTTCAAGCTGTGGCACCTGAAAGCTTTCCAGGAACTTATCAATCAGTTCCCATTCCCAAGCAGTTCCCATTCCCAACTAGTTCCCATTCCCAACCAGCTCCCATCCCAGAAAGCCTGTAGGTTGTATACTCCGTCCTCTTCATTTTGCTTGGCCTTCTGGCCTATGGTCTCACCCCTGCTTGCACTTCTCCTTCCAGGTTTAATCCAGGAATGTTTTATTAATCTATTTCCCAGCCCATGGCTGGAAGGGTCTGTTTTATTCCCCATTTTAATTTTCATGGTGCATAAAACACTCCTCGGCCTGACAAGGAAGAGTTACGGCCGTCGAGGTGCGATTTTATGGCGACTCTTAAAACCCGTCAAAACCCAAACTTACTGAATCCCGGCTCTGGGAACACTTTAAATTCCAGCTTGATGTCACCAGCCCCAAATCTTCTCTAACCCAAAGACACTGGTGCGTTCGAGAGGCTCCAAGAGAGTGATTTTTTTTAAAGTTCACGCTGTTTTTTTCCTCGGAGCCCGTGCTTTATGTAGTGTTTCTGTGAATTCCATGGCGCTCACGGTCTTGGTTGACATCCTTAGATGCAAAACATGCCATGCATTTCCCCAGGAAAAGATCTCAAGGTATATTGGGAATGTCATAAAAGAGAGGGCAAGTTAAAAAAAAAAGAAAGAAAAGAAAAGGCAGGAGGTGCTTCAGGTTTTCAGGGTTGCTTTGCCCAAAATGTCAGTACCAAGGGAGTCAGTAGAATCATGGATATCTTGAGTTGGGAGGGACACACCAAGATCAACCAGTCCAACCCCTGGCCTTGCACAGACACCCCAACAATCCCACCCTGTGCCCCAGAGGATCAGCCAAACCCTCCTGGAGCTCTGGCAGCCTTGGGGCTGTGCCCACTGCCCTGGGGAGCCTGGGCAGTGCCAACCACCCTCTGGGGGAAGAACCTTTCCCTGAGATCCAACCTGACCCTGCTCCAGCCATTCCCTTGGCTCCTATCAGCAGACCTTGAGAGGGAACAGGAGGCTACAGGGACGACCTTGTTTTGCAGGAGCTCTACAGAGAGCTCCACGAGCAACTCCCTCTCGGGAAGGCCGCCGGGAACGAGCTCCCTGCAGAGGACTGACCTTCCATGAGGGTGTGGTGGATGCTCCAGTAGACACTCAGGCAGTGCTTCTCCTTCTTCATGCCCCTCTTGCACTTGCAGCCATAGAGCTGGCTGGAGAGCAGGGCCGTCACCGTGCTCCTGCACTGGCTCTTGGCGTCGGGGCCCAGCTTGTTGGCCCCATTCCCGGCGATGCACTGCCGCAGGGTCCGGAATTTGGCGCTGCACACGGGGTCAGTGGTGCACGACTCGCCGGCCTGCAGGCAGTCCCTGCTCGAGCCCACGGCTTCTGCCATGCCTTCTGCAAGGAAAGCAGAGTCACTCAGGATGTCCTGAGCTGGAAGGGACGCACCAGGATCATCCAGTCCAACTCCTGGCCCTGCACAGACACCCCAACAATCCCCCCCTGAAGGGGTTAATAGCGGGTCTATTAGCTCCCAGGATAAAGATATTGACTGGACGAACTTTCGGGTGTATTCTTGATGATAAGGAAGTCAGTACACAGCCCTAATGGAGAAACAAAGGCAGGCTGCAAAGTTGGTAGGCCTAGGATGTGGGAACTGCAATAAGGCCTTGAGCTTTGCCAAATGTATCACCCATAGATCCTAGCCAATGAAAATGCTGTTGCTTTCTTACCTAAAATAAGGTTACTGCTTGCTACTAGCAGGGGGTATAAAAAAGCAGATGAGAAAATAACGATCAGACATCTTTTCTGCACAAAACTGACTCCTTGTATCTTTACTGGCCATCATGACTCAACACAGACACCTCCCTGTCCCTCAGAGCATTGTCCAAACCCTCCTGGAGCTCTGGCAGCCTTGGGGCTGTGCCCACTGCCCTGGGGAGCCTGGGCAGTGCCCAAACACCCTCTGGGGGAAGAACTTTTGCCTGAGATCCAACCTAAACCTACCTTGGCACAGCTCCAGCCCTTCCCTGGGTGCTGTCCCTGGTCCCCCCAGAGCAGAGCTCAGTGCCTGCCCCTCCTCTTCCCCTCCCATGGAATTTTTAACTGCAATGAGGTCTCCCCTCAATCTCCTCTCCTCCAGGGAAGAGGTGTGAGGGCTATGGAGCAACCCCAGGCAGGGAATGGATTGTGTCTCCCACAGCCTCCTTCCTCTAGGTTGCCCAGACAAGCTGTGGCTGCCCCACCCCTGGAACTGTCCAAGGCCAAGTTGGACGGGGCTTGGAGCAACCTGGGATAGTGGAAGGTGTCCCTGCCCATGGTAGGGGGTGGGACTAGATGATCTCGACTTTCCCTTCCAACCCAAACCATTCCATGATTCCATGACAGGGTCAGCCTGGTAGCAGGATTACAAGTGGAAGAAACTCATCCCTGGTGCTTCCTCTTTGCTTCTCGGAGCACAAAAAGCCTTCCCAAACCCATTCTCCTCCCCTCTCTCTACCTCATTCCTGCTCTCCCAAGTTAACAGCAGCCCAACCCTGCGGAGACCCCCGGCCTCTCCTCCTGGCACACGAATTCCCTGTGCCTACGCCTCCCTGGAGCTATGAATGGCTCTGTGTGGGTGTTCTGACACGGAGTCAGCCCACCCATGTCCCAGGAGTTGGCCCTTGTTCCCTGTCAGCACATCCCCAGGACTCCCACTGGGTTTGTCTTGGCTTTTTCCAGGATTTTGGAGATTATCTTCAGAGTTACTCGTGAAAATATAAAGGAGTTTGTTCCCCATATGGGGAGGGGAGACCAAAGCATGGGAGGAAGATGTTATTTCCACGTGGACATTAATAAATTAATTGATCAGGGCTCAGTGGAGCTGTGTCCCAGTGCATGGAGCAGCCCAATTCCATGTTATTAATTGCTAAAACAGGCTGGACACATCCCAAACTGACTCCTTAGGGATGTTCCCACTCCAAGGCTCTCAACAAAGGCAGGGCCAGAGGCTCAACCGTGCTCAGCAGGACATGGTGGCATCCAGGTGGTGGAGAGGAGACACGGCCAGGAGAAGGGGAATGTCACCCCTTCCAGCTGGGGTGTGGTGACACAGGCTTGGGGGAGTGCTGAGGAGGGAAACCTGGGTTATGGAAGGGGAGGATCCGTTCCAGAGCCTGTAATGTCATTTTTGGATCCTGCTGCACCATGAAAACAGAAACTGCTACCATGACCTTGAAGGAGGATTTCTCAAACACCTCCCAAAGGAGCTCCCTGTCTCTGACATAACCTGTCTTTCCTTTGGATGGGAACCAGAAGGGTGAGGATGGATAAGGGTGGGAACCAGAAGGGTGAGGATGGATAAGGTGGGGGCACCTTCTGCTTTTTGAGCCACCCCAGTGCCTGTTACTAGTGAGACCTAAGTTAGAAAATATGAGAAAATCCTCCCTCCTGAGAAAACTGTGAGTCCTTGATCTCCATCTCTGAGAGTTTCATGGAATCTCTGCTCTCTCCAAGATCTACTGATCTCTCCATAAAGTCCCTTCTTCCACCTTCCACCTGCCACCTCTCCTTAATTTCTGCACCTCCCAGCCCGGTGTTTGAGCCCGGTATATCCATCTCTCCTCCCTCAGCAGTCTCAGGGTGTTTGCTAAGAAGGAGCTGCCTCTGCTGCTCTTGACTAGAGCAGAAAGCAGCAGCTGGAGTGCAGATATTTCAGCGATGTTTATGACAAACTTTGGATGAACCCACCAGGAGGTTTCCTCCCGAAATATCCCGATGGCATCTCGAATGCAAAACCTTTCATCAAACCCCAGACCATTTCCAAGTGCCTCGTGGCCAATGCCAAGCTTTCAGGTATTTCAAATCTCACAACACCTCGGATCCGAGTTCTCCCGCCCCTGATTTATTCATAGACCTGGTTTATGCAGCACTCAAGGCTTGTTTGGATCTGCCAAATGTGGAGGGAGAAATTATTTCCAGCATGTAGGAAACTCTGCCTTGGGCTGTCATATATTGAAGAACTCCGAAAACAAGGAATGAGTTTCCTTGAAATATCGTTTGGGCTGCAATTTCACTGAGATCCATAAAATATCCGAACACATCCGAGCAGAATCCATAGGAATAAAGATGAAAAGTGCTTGGCTTATTTCACCCTGCCTTTCTCCAAAGGATCCGCTCTGGATGAGGATAAAGCACGGCAGGTTTTATTCTGGAAGAGATGACTTTGTCAGTGTCCTGTCAGCTGCTGGAAAAGTAGGTTAGAGCAGAAATTATGACCTTCTTTCCCCTTCTCCACTTCATGAATTGCAGAAGATACTCCCCAGGATGGTTATAAACACAACCAGCCTGTAAAAGCCGTAAAACACTTCGGGATCCCACTTTAAATAAATCAAGCAGATTGACCACTTGAGAAATTTTTAAGTAAATATATCCTCGGGCTGAGGATACAAAGGCCAGGGGTGAATATTTACGGCCCAAACCCACGGCATAAAACGCCCCCAATTCAGATTTTATGGCAGGGAGCGTCACAAACGACCCGTGGCCACGTCACTTAAACCCCAAATCGTTCAGGGGCTTTCATTGTTAGAGGTGTCTTTGCAACTGAGACAACAGAACACCACGTTTCCCTCCTCGCACGGCCCCTCAGAGAGGAATTTTATGCAACATTAAGACAGAACCTCTTAAGGGGAAAAAAAAAATAATAAATCTCTGTGACTTATAAAATGGATGGTGCTCCCTACCAGGTGGGACAGGAGCAATATCAGGTGTTCTCTCCCAAAAGATGGAGTGGCCTCTCTGCTTTTTGCCTTCCAAAATAGCTCCTCGTGGACTTTGTGCCGCGGGATTTTCGTTCTCCCTGACCGAAAATCAGGATGTGCGCCCGGCTGGGTCTTCCATGCCTCTGCTGTTCTACCAGCAGCCCTTCCAGCTCCCCCTGCTCTCTTTAAAAGGCCATTTGTCTGGAGTTTTATCCCTCTCTCGCTGCTAATTTCACGCTGTTTACGGTGGGCAGATGGAGTAATGAGTTTATTTTCCCATCCTGGCCTCCACATCTGTCTCTGCTCTCGCTCGCCTCGGTGACACACGGAGCTACTTCTCCTGTGCAGGAGCAAGAGGGAAACCTGGCTCTTCCCAACTTCACAGACCCTCAGTTCCTCTCATACAGTTTTATTTTGCTGACCAAGAGGTCTGACTCTCCTCCAAGGAGATGATTTCCCTCCTCGAGGAAGTGCAGGTGGGGGGTGAAGAAATGTGAAGGTGACCCCATGTGGGCTGGAAATGGTGAATAAAGTGCCTGGAGAGCATCAAGGTGAGATCCTGCCACTCTCCCTTTCTGATCCAACCAATGCTTGGGCTTTGGATGGTTTAGGAGGAACCAAACCAGTTCATCCTGGGGGTTTGGGATACATCCCACTCCCCTCCAGTTCTTATATGTATTAGGTGTGAATATCTTTACACTCCTGTTTTGATGTGCTGGAGCGTGTCCAGGGAAGGGAACGGAGCTGGGAAGGGGCTGGAGCAGCAGGAGAGGCTGAGGGAGCTGGGGGGGCTCAGCCTGGAGAAAAGGAGGCTCAGGGGGGACCTTCTGGCTCTGCAACTCCCTGACAGGAGGGGGGAGCCGGGGGGGGGTCGGGCTCTGTTCCCAAGAAACAAGGGACAGGAGGAGAGGGAACGACCCAAAGCTGTGCCAGGGGAGGGTCAGGTTGGACATCAGGAGGAATTTCTTCCTGGAAAGGGTTGTTAAGCATTGGAAGGGGCTGCCCAGGGAGGGGGTGGAGTCCCCACCCCTGGAGGTGTCCAAGGAAGGACTGGACGTGGCACTGAGTGCTCTGGGCCGGGGGACAAGGTGGGGATTGGTCCAAGGTTGGACTCGATGATCTTGGAGGTCTTTTCCAACGTTAATGACTCTGTGATTCTGGGATTCACACACAGCCCTCCACAGTGACAACACTGTCATTATTTCCATGACAAGCTGTTGACACCAAAACATTTGGTGTTTGCTTTCACAGTATTTGCTGCTAAGACGAGAATAACCTCCCAAAATCTCCAAGAAAGCAACAGGAGTGGTTTATTATTCCTTAACTTGTTTCCAGCCTTGTTCTGCCTGCAAAGGTGGGTGAATGTCTTCATAGAATCACAAAAGTTTTGGGTTGAAAGGGACCTTAAAGACCATCTTGTTCCACCCCTTGCCATGGGAAGCGACACCTTCCACTATCCCAGATTGCTCCAAGCCCCATCCATCCTGGCCTTTATTCCAGATCTGATCTTCCAGCCAGCACATAGTCCATGTAAGTGGCTGGGAGAGGACATTGCAAGGAATTTTTGCATCCTGTGCTGGTGTGAGAGACATCTGCAGGAAACAGGGTCTCAACAAGAAGTGGGCACCTGACCACTTCCAGACCAGATCCTTCTGT